TTAGCCTTGTTCACAACTGCATTACACTGTTGACTCATCAATTTGTGATCCACTATAACCTCTAGATCCTTTGCAGCAGTCCCCCGGCTGGCTAGACAGTTATTCCCCATTTTGTTTTTGTACAATTGATTTTTCCTTCCTAAGTGTAGTACTTTGCACTTCTTTTTATTGAATTTCATCTTGTTGGTTTCAGAGCAATTCTCCAATTTGTCAAGGTCATTTTGAATTCTAATCCTCTCCTCCAAAGTGCTTTCAACCCCTCCCTGCTTGGTGTCATCTATAAATTGTATAAGCATATTCTCCAAGTCATTAATGAAAATACTAAATAGTACCAGACCCAGGACATACCCCAGCAGGACCCCCTATAACAGGGGTCGGCAACCTTTCAGAAGTGGTGTGCCGAGTCTTCATTTATTCACTCTAATTTAAGGTTTTGCGTGCCAGTCATACATGTTAACGTTTTTAGAAGGTCTCTTTCTATAAGTCTATAATATATAACTAAACTATTGTTGTATGTAAAGTAAATAAGGTTTTTAAAATATTTAAAAAGCTTCATTTAAAATTAAATTAAAATGCAGAGCCCCCCGGACTGGTTGCCAGGACCCGGGCAGTGTGAGTGCCACTGAAAATCAGCTTGTGTGCCGCCTTCGGCACACATGCCATAGGTTGCCTACCCCTGCCCTATAAACATCCCCCCAGTTTGACCATGAACCATTGATAACTTCTCTTTGAGTCCAGTCTTTCAACCAGTTTTCACCCACCTTATAGTAGTTTTATCTAGATCACATTTCTCTAGTTCACTTATGAGAATGTCGTGTCTGTGTCATGTCAAATGCCTTAATAAAATCAAGATATATTAGGTCCAGTAGGCCAGTAATCCTGTCAAAGATGGAAGATAGTTTGTTTTGGCATGATTTATTCTTGGCAAATCCATGTTGGCTATCTGACCACCCTCTTTTCCCTTAGGTGATTACAAATTGATTGTTAATTTGTTCCAGTATCTTTCTGGGTATCAAAATTAGGCTGACTGATCTATAGTTCGCCAAGTTCTTTTTGTTCCCCTTTTAAAAGATAGGTACTGTGTTTACTCTTCTCCAGTCCTCTGTGACATCACCCATCCTTCATGAGTTCTCAAAGATAATCGCTAACGGTTCTGAGATTGCTTCAGCTAGTTCCTTAAGTATCCTAGGGTGAATTTCACAAGGCCCTGACAACTTGAATACATCCAACTTATCTAAATATTCTTTAACTTGTTCTTTCCCTATTTTGGATTGTGTTCCTTCCCTCTTGTTGTTAATATTAATTATGTTATCTGGTCACATTTTACCTTTTTAGTGAAGACTGAAGCAAAATAGGCATTAAACACCTCAGCCCTCTTGATGTCATCCATAAATAGCTCTCCTTTCCTTCTGGTCTTTCTCTTGCTCCTAATATATTTATAGTACCTCTTCTTTATTTATTTTTATTTATATTTATTTTCTTATTGCCTTTTATGTCCTTTGTTGGGTATAACTCATTTTGTGCCTTAGTCTTTCTAACTTTGTTCCTACATGCTTGTGCTATTCTTTCGTACTCATACAAATACTTGTACCATATACAGTCAGTTGCCCATTCTGGTAAGTATTTAGGATCCATTCATTCAGTCAGAGCCCTGATGGCTTCTGAGGTATTTTTTTTCTAACTCTCTGTATGTGAGGTGTTAGATTTTGTAGAACTGCAAGACTAACATTGACCTTTCTCCACTCCTCACCATCTCCACCCATCCCTGAGAAGTCACTAATTCACAGTTCTCCAAAGGATGCTATTTTGTGGACAGAATCCCAAACTGGAATAAGTAGGTTTTATTTACCAATAACTGGTATTCTCCTTTGGATGCATCTATCTATTTTCAAATGCCTACTATTCTCGGATCACACGCCAAGTGAGGGGAGGACCTGCATTATACAGACATGTGGATAAAGCGGGTCAATAGAAAACAATTCATGTTAATGACTTGAATATTTTCTAATGCCAGTGTCTATGGGGAATTATGTGCTGTACACATAAATCTCTAAATACCATGGAACACTGAAGATGAGGGTCCACTTGGAGAATTCCACTCGCAGCATAGTAACCCAGGTTTTTCTCTTATTAAAAGTGCATGTTTCTTTTAACCTAGAACTGAAGAACTTCTTTTCACATTCTCAACTCTTGTTCTTCTTTTCTTGAGTGAGCAAATCATTTGAAGCCCCATTTATGAAGTAGAGATGGTTCAGTTGTGTGACTTTAAAAATGTTGCAGCCCTATAGGGCAAAATATAAGACCCTGCAAAATCTATAAATTCCTGAATGTCCTTTTGTACTTGTCCCTAAGGATCATATCCTCTCAGTGCTTTAAAGGTTTATGCTTCTTAAATTTGAAATGTGTGTGTTGGTATAGATAATGCACACAGTAGCATTTTCCATTGAAAAGCCACTTTGGGGATTTGGACATCCAGTTCCCATTTAAAATTGAGAACTGTATGACCAAATCCTCTAGGAGACATTTTGAACATTTCAGTCTAATGTAGCAATAGGTATTTCCTACCAGAATATTGAATTTAAATTACACCAACTGGTATGGCAGCATTCCAGTGTCATTCATCTGCCAGTGATGACATACTAACCTTTGAATATCAATCTAAGTCTAACCTAACATTGAGTGTTTTAAGTCACTGGAGACACATGCAGTGTTTAAAGTTAGTTTCTTTATGTGGAAAATTATTTTTGTTGGGGTAGCATGTAGAATTGGTGAATAAGGCTGCAAGTGGTATAGTGATGTAATCAAAATTGAAATGAAATTTGTAAAGTACTCAATTTTCTCTGTGAACATGTTCAATCCTAGTGCTGCTTTCTCTCATAAATTTAGATCTAAAAAAATCCCTTAGCTCTGGAGTGCATGGTCCATTCAGAATTCTGTTTGGTGTGATTCCATCATGTTAACATGAGCTTGATCTAAAGAAACCTTTAAACCACAGCAGTTATGAATTTGCTATTGGCAGGTTTACCTGTCACCTAAGGATCTAGAGAAAGAAAGAAATCTGGATCTCTCTACCTATGTCTAACCTGGTCATTACAATTAATTTAATCAAAATCATGTCCCTGACAGTGTGGTCACTCTCAGTACATTAAGATTTTCTAGGGAAAAAGACTATGAAAATTTGTCAGCATTTAATAAAGAGAAAGATCCATATGATACTCTATAGAAAAATAATATTGAACATATTTGTGTTCCAATATGAAAACCTCCCTCCTTTCATATCATTATTATGTTTCTGGATGTCATTTTTTGTTTTATGAGTGTGGGGGATGTGAATAGATAAAGCACTAAATTTATCTTCTGGACTCCTCTGTTCAAATCTTGATTTAGGTCATAAATGAAAATGAGTTTGGTGGTTTCTTCAATCCCTACATTGGCCAGTATCACAAAAGTTACCAGCGTTAGGCACATTTGTCAATGGTTGCTAAGATGTGGCCTGGGACTGTAATAGCAGAGGCTCTACAAGTCAAAATAGAGGTGTAATGTCAGATCTGTGTGAGAAAGCCTAGCATGAGATCTAGCTCTGCACTGTTGTGCTAGTTGCATACTGTATTTTCATGATACTGCATACACATTTTCATGACTACCAATGAACTCCATTTATGCACACACACACACTTATTTGTTTTTAATTAACACATTTCTTATTCAGACACTTTTTGAATTCACAGTGTAGGCAGGCCAAGGTATTGTGTTCATAATAAACTCATTTTTTTATTCTTAACTTTACATAGTGCGTTTTGGTTTTTTTTAATTGTTGTTAGCTTTCTAGTCTGAGCACATTTCTATCATGAACGTTCTTAATGAGAATATATATGTTCAGCAGTCTTGGATTTTGTACTTCACGTGTACAGTTTCAGGAGGTGGGACACATGAGGCAGTTGATGTACATACGTTATTACTATTTATAGAGCATCTAACTGATAGTACCTTCTGATATCAAATAAAAAGTTCCTAATGCAAAAATCCTTCTAGATCTCAAGGGGAGCTTTATAGAGGATACAGAATCAGCTACAAGGAGTTTTTCTTTCTTTTTTTTACCAAGCAATCAGGTTTTCTATTACTATAAGAATTTGTTTTTAATTAGTAAGATGATATACTATATTGGGAAAATTTACCTTGCATATCTGTACAGCAGTATATGACTCAAGTATTCTGCTTTCCCTATGGGCGTGGATATCCCATTATTATTTCATATAAATTATATGCACAAAAGGAGAGCAGAATATTAACTTTGAATACTACCATCCCAGTATGAGAGAATTTTGCCCTATATGCTAAGAAAGTAAAGATTTGAGATTTTGCAATACTTTACAATACCTAAGAATATAAGAACACCCATACTGGGTCAGCCCAAAGGTCCATCTAGCCCAGTATCCTGTCTTCCGACAGTGGCCAATGCCAGGAGCCCCAGAGGGAATGAACAGAACAGGTAATCATCAAGTGTTCCATTCCCTGTCACCCATTCACAGTTTCTGGCAAACAGAGGCTAGGCAGGAGCACCGCCAGCTTTTCTGCCACTCAAGGCAGCGGAAGGTCCCGCCCCGAAATGCCACCCCCCACAGAGGTAGCGGAAGGTCCCGCCGCCGAAATACCGCCGCAGTCGCCGCCCCCCAAATTGTAGCACCCTAGGCGACCGCCTAGGTCACCTAATGGGTTGCGCCGGCTCTGAGGCTAGGGATACCATCCCTGCCCATCCTGGCTAACAGCCATTGATGGACCTATCCTCCATGAACTTATCTAGTTCTTTTTTTAACTAGAAGATACGGTAGAAATATATTCATTACTTTTCACTCTTAAGTACAGAGTCTGTCTGCATATGGTTTCCATTACGTGTTTTACTACTTTTTCTTTCCCCTGTAGAATGTGTCTTATGAAATTTTGAATGTTTGCTTAAATTCTGTTTATATATATTTTTTTGAAATGCTTGCTTTCACATTTAGATATGATGAATGGATAAAAGCAGACAAGATAGTGAGACCAGCTGATAAAAATGTGCCAAAAATAAAGCATCGGAAGAAAATAAAGGTAGATTTTTTTCTATTAGATCATTTTGCTGCTTAATTTACTTTCATATAGACTGATTTTATAATTATAGCCTTTAAATGGACTTGGAAATTCATGATAAATTTAAAATTAGTTTCTGTTAGCCTCTTAGAAGCATACACTTTTTTAAGCATGATTTTTGTCCTTCTCTTTCGAAAGATAGCTTTTTCTTCCTCCTCTTCCCCCCGCACTCCCAGTTCATCTGGTGCACCAACAGGAAACAGAGCCATTCCCTCATCAGCGATGGCAGCACAGCACCAGGAAATAAAATTTGCTAGCTACCCTGCTGGCTTTGAAGCACAAACCTGTGTCGAATCTACATAAATGTGGCTTGTATCTTGCTTTTAACTTCTTGTCAACTGTGGTAGATTTAAAAAAAAAACACAGATATTTTGGGCCAGATCCTGGTCAATTCCTTGTGCGGGGCAGAAGGGTGTGAACAGCCTTTTCCCCCACACCAACAGGCTCCATGGCCATCCCTGCACTCTGAACACAAGGACTACTAGAATCCAGTGCTTCTGATAGAGCCAGACTTGCCTATAGCCTCTCCTCCTTCCTCATTAGCACAGCACAAGGGTTTGCCATTCAATCCAGGCTGTCACAACAGTCATGCCTTCTCTCTGCAATATCCCTTACTGCAAGGTCTAGCATAGTGGAAGAATGGTTTAGCCCTTAAATGCTGAGAATATTCCTCATCAGATATAAGTGTTAAGGAATTCACATTTTTGGTGTTAATACTTGTGCATAAGACAAAATACAGTGCTTGCATATCCTTGTAAAGGAACAAAGAAAAACTTATTCTTAGGTTTTGTGTTCAAAATCACTGTCTGCATTGCTAATTGTAATTCACCTTAAATTATATGTTAGCATTAGAAGAGTTTTTAAAATGGTTTTTTCCTTAACCTAGAATAAAACTGACAAAGAGAAGGATGAGAAGTATTCTCCTAAAAATTGTAAATTGCGACGCTTGTCAAAACCACCCTTTCACACGAGCACATCACCAGAGACTGAGTCCAAACTTGACAGCACTGAAGCCAAAAACTCTGAACAAGCTCCAGTTAAATCCATAGAAATTACTTCTATCCTTAATGGGCTACAAGGTATTGTACATGGACTTTCTAATTCAGTATGTAATCATTTTACCAGTATCTTAAAGTGACAGTACAGAGCAATTGAAGCAAACTATAAATAAGGCTGCGAGTTTGTCATGGAGATCACGGATTCCATGACTTTCTGGGAGTTCTGCAGCAGCTGGCCCAGTGGCCACATGAGCAGCTCGGGTGGCCCCCAGGCCAGCCACACCGGCCACTGCTGGGGCAGTCTCAGGCCACTGTACCCCTCCCCCCCAGCAGCAGCAGGAGTTTGGGTTTGGGAGGGGGCTCAGGGCAGAGGCAGGGGTTGAGGTGCAGGATGGGGAGAGGGCTCTGGGCAGCGCTTATCTTGGGGGACGAGGGAGCTGTCCGGCTCCCAGGCAGAGGTGCGGCCAGGTGGCTCCGCGCGCTGCCTGTGTCCACAGGTGATGCCCCCGCAGCTCCCATTGGCTGTTGTTCCCAATCACTTGGGGAAGGGGCAGCATGCAGAGCCCCCCTGGCTGTGCCCTCCTCCCAGCACCAGCAGGGGCCATGGGCCACCGCCCTCCCCCCGCAGCAGCTGATCCCGTGGGCTGCCCCCTACCCTCCAGAGCACGCACATTTTAGTTAGGGGTATATAGTACAAGTCATGGACAGGTCACGGGCCGTGAATTTTTGTTTACTGCCTGTGACCAGTCCATTACTTTTACTTAATATACCTGTGTCTAAAACATAGCCATAACTGTACATTGAAACTTGTGGAAGAGGAAGTTTCCTTCAGAGCATTAGGAGATTATTATTATAAATTCAGAGTCTGTCTGTCTCTGTGCATTTTTTTTATTTATAAATTGTTTTATATATATTTTGCACATAAATAGCACATTTTTGTCTAAAGTGCTAAAAACATACACAAACTTTCTGAATAGATATTCTGGATTCAGATGATTTCTGTAATCTTAAAAATAATTTCACTTGTAAAATAATACTTTGAAAAGTTTTTCTGCTGTGTTTTCCCCTTTTTGTGTTTGACAAAGTATCCTTGGCTGTTCTTTTTAGAAATAACAAAATGAAAAATTATAAAATTATACAGGAAACTAATTCTACCAGTATAAAAAGCTATTTAGGAGCCGTGATAGTGACATCATTAGTGACTCCGCAGTTAGTTATAATTGCCTTTTAAAAGCCAATTTGACATGTACACAAGTACTTTCTCAAAATAGATGCTTTCATGTGAAATCTCTTAACTTTTTTGAAAATCTTTAAAAATAGTGTATCAGATTTTCATGTGGTTGTAAATCTGCATAGCTCCATTGCAGTTGATATAACTATAGCGATTTACACCAGCTGAGGATCCACCCCCGAGTTGCAAAAACATCATAGCCTAGAAACTCCATGTTTGTTTCATTCCGTTTTCCTTGGTAATTAGTGCCTTAAGTATTTTTAGGATATTTGGGTGGTTTTATAAAGTTTTGGAGCTGTTCACTTCAAGCTTTTCAAAACGGTCAGGTTCCTGTAGAGTTTATGAACTTGGATGGTTGACTCTTTCAGATGACAATATTAATCTAAGCTTTCATTTAAAGGTGACATAGAAAGGAAAAGTGGATTACTGCTATTATTTATGATGGATAAAAAAGACCTGAAAGAGGTGTGGAGATTTTTTTCTGCTGGAGCTTTAGATTAGAAATTCAGGTCCTGTCTACATTGAAAGACTCTGTGGAGAACTAGCAGGATTATGACAGCACAATTACTAAAAGTGAAATCTGATTAATTGAGGGAAAGAGTGTTTTTTAGTTATACAGTCTAAAACAATGTTTTAATACCTATTTAACTAAAGTACTGGGAGAAAAGTTCTTTTAGAATTCAATATCTTAACCCTTCATTTAAAATCTGAGAAAGTTCCCAATATACATTTTGCAGTCATCCAAGAAGGCTTCTTGCCGAAAAAAGAATGGAAGTGTGACAAGCAGAGAAAAAACAACTTTGAAAGATAAACAAAATCCACAAACCTTTCACACCTCCATCATAAAGAAGAAAAATACACATATTTGTAGTTCGCTGTAGGCTAGTGGGCAGATTCACCAGCCAGGCAGTCCAAACAAAGCCCAAACCCCTCATGTTCAGTTTCCCATCCCTTTCATCTGAGCAGGTTCTCTGATAAACAAAAGATGCAAAACTTTTCAAAACAATACAAAACACTTGGTAACTGAGATCTTCCTGCAGGGGAGAAGTGGGTGGAGACATCTTTTCTCAAAGCCTTCTCTTTCCCAGCTACTGTGGAGACACCCACACTAGGACTTCCCTGACACTGAGTTTCTCTAGTCTGCTGTCCCCACCTAACAGACAGGAAGCTATATACCTGGTTTCCTGTAGGTCACATGCTTGCACCTAGCCATGTGCCTGGAGACTACAGCTCCCATTTGTAAAGGGTCCTAGGATGCTAAAAGGCGCACTAGGACATGTACATCTGCCTCACGGCCAACTGATTTGTTAGGGTACTTCTACACTTCAATAAAAGCCCTGCAGCAGTGAGTCTCATAGCCCAGTGAAATTACTTGGACTCGTACTCCGGGGCTTTAAATAGCAATATAGATGTTTGGGCAGTGGGCTCAGGCCAGAGCCTGGGCTCTGAGATTTTTTTCCCCTCGCCAGGTTTGAGTCCAGGCTCCAGTCCAAGCAGGAACATCTACACTGCTATTTTTAGCCTTAGTCACTTTAAAAAAAAAAAAGAGTCAAGTCTGTATCCTGAGTCACCTAAAAAACCCTTCCAAAAACACACACCACAAGCTTCCAGCCTCATTGTGAAGATAGTCTTCAAAATGTAAACTAATGGCTGTGCTTGAAAATTTTTGTGAAATATTTATTAATAAATAGTCTTCAAAGCTTTGAACCTCTATCCTCTCCAACATGAGCAAAAGTTTCAAGCCCTCATTTTGGAGCAATATTTTGCCCAGTTTAAATTAAAAAAAAAAAGTTGCAAAATAGCACAAAATAATAAAGTCTAAAAACAAACAAAAACACCCTCAGCTCTTTGTGTTGTTGGACCTTGTAGGTGACTGAATCAAACTAAACATTTTTTTTTAAACTGGGTTGTGATATGAATGTTTTCAGCCAAAAGTGAATATGTGTTGCCCTGAAAACTAGCAATAGGGATGAAAGCCTAGTCCCATTGAAGTCATTGACTTCAATGGGGCTATGATTTTGCCCTCTGTTTTGAACATAAAACTTGGTACAATTTTTAATTTAGATGATGCTAGCTACAGGTCAAGTATATTAGTAAAAAGTGAGCTTTATTTTGTAAGGTGTGGACATAGAATGCGTGAGACTGCAAACCCAGATTTCAGACATATTAAGGTTTTTAGAAGTGAGCTTCAGATGGTAGTGTTCCTCAAGTAATAATAATAGCATAAATCATTAACAGTTAGAGATGATAAACCTAGCTGGAATTTACAAGTCATATGCAATTAGAAAAATGTTGTAGTCTTTTCTTCTCTATACATCTATATTTTTTAGCTTTGGAAGTAGGGCAAATAGCATTTGTAAATTGTAACTGTTAGTTAATATTAAAGATTTAGTGCATTTAAAGTCTAATATTAAACATTCTTTTGGGCTGTCATGTCCATTTGTGTTATATAGAAGATTCATATATGTGTGGATTAATAAAACAGAGTTTTATTTAGACTGGAATCTGTCACTTCATGCTTTCTCTGGTTCTTCAAAAAAGTATGCAAATACCTTAGAGGAATTCCGTGGAGATGTTTTATTATATGGGATTTGCAAACTGACAAGCATTGCTGCTTATCTAGCTATTACACTTCCTAATAAAATGAAGTTTTTAAAAATCTGTTGGTTTTTTTCCTACTGGGTACATGAAAACAAAGGATTTTAATAGTACTAGCTTTAGTGTGTATTGCTATCTGTTTATCTATAATATGTTTGTTTATTAGTTGTTTTTTTAGTATTACTTGTAACAGATATATTTTTTTTAATAGCTTCAGAAAGTTCTGCTGATGATAGTGATCAGGAAGATGACCAAAGTGCCCAGAATGTACATAATGATGGCAAGGAGGAATCTCCAGATGAGACTGTGAGCCAAGACAAAAATGAACTCTGTCCAAAAGAAGAGGAGAGCAGCTCATCTCCCCAAGAAGAGGGAAAAGCCCTTGCAGACGTAGCACCACCTAAATCAGTATCCAAATCACCAGAAAGATTGCGGAAAGAGCTGGAAGAATTAGCTGATGATACGGACTATGAAGGAGAGGATGAAGCTACAAAGAAGAGAAAGGAGGTCAAAAAGGAGGTAGTAGATAAAACAACAAAGTCACAGGTAAAACGTGGTAAGCGAAGGTATTGCATCACCGAGGAATGTGTAAAGACTGGGTCACCTAATAGAAAGGATGAAAAGTCCAAGAGCAAAGACTCCCATAGCTTAGAACATAGTAGTAACAGTTCCTCAGATGAAGATGAGGAGGACAAATCTAAACTAAAAATAACGCCAACTAAGAAATACAATGGGATAGAGGAGAAAAGGAAGTCTTTAAGGACAAGTGGTTTCTACTCAGGGTTTTCTGAAGTGGCAGAAAAAAGAATAAAGCTTCTAAATAACTCTGATGAAAGACTTCAGAATACCAGAGCTAAGGATAGAAAAGATGTATGGTCCAGTATTCAGGGACAGTGGCCCAAGAAAACATTGAAAGAACTTTTTTCAGACTCTGACACAGAGGCTGCAGCCTCACCCCCACATGCTTCTGAGGATCCTGCAGTAGAGGAGCAGCTGCAGACTCTTGCAGAAGAGGTTTCTTTGCCCAGCTCTGAACTAGAACAGCCTTTACTAGCCAGCATAGATGTTAAACCTGTTGAGGAGAAACCAACGGAAATGAGTGACAAGAAAGTTGAATTTCCAAGCAGTGGGAGTAATTCAGTGCTAAATACTCCTCCTACAACCCCTGAATCACCTTCATCTGTCACTGTAACAGATTCTAGTAGACATCAGTCCAGTGTAACAGTCTCAGAGACCTTGGCACCAAATCAAGAAGAGATACGAAGCATCAAGAGTGAAAGTGATAGCACAATTGAAGTGGATAGCGTTGTGGGGGAGCTCCAGGACCTTCAGTCTGAAGGAAATATTTCTCCAACAGGCTTTGATGCCAGCGTCAGCTCTAGCAGTAGTAATCAACAAGAACCAGAGCATACTGAAAAAGGTAAGGAGAAAACCTGAGTTGTCGAACATATATTCCTCCTCTCATTTCTTATACTGCTAATTTATTTGTGTTTAACTGTTGCTACGTTACTTGAAGATTGGTTTAAGAACACAAGAATGGCCCTACTGGGTCAGACCAAAGGTCTATCTAGCCCAGTCCTGTCTTCTGACAGTGGCCAATGCCAGGTGCCCCAGAGGGAATGAACAGAACAGGTAATCATCAAGTGATCCATCCCCTGTTGCTCATTCCCAGCTTCTGGCAAAGAGAGGCTAGGAACACCATTCCTCCCCATCCTGGCTAATAGCCATTGATGGACCTATCCTCCATGAATTTATCTAGTTCTTTTTTTGAACCCTGTTATGGTCTTGGCCTTCACAACATCCTCTGACAAAGAGTTCCACAGGTTGACTGTGCATTGTGTGAAGAAATACTTCCTTTTATTTGTTTTAAACCTGCTGACTATTAATTTCTTTGGGTGATCCCTAGTTCTTGTGTTATGAGAAGTAGTAAACAACACTTCCTTATCTACTTTCTCTATACCAGTCATGATTTTATAGACCTCAATCATAGCTCCCCTTAGCCGTCTCTTTTCCAAGCTGAAAATCCCAGTCTTATTAATCTCTCCTCATACGGAAGCCGTTCCATATCCTTAATAATTTTTTTGCCCTTTTCTGAACCTTTTCCAATTCCAATATATATCTTTTTTGAGATGGAGCGACCACATTTGCACGTATTCAAGATGTGAGCATACCATGGATTTATATAGAGGCAACATGATATTTTCTGTCCTATTATCTATCCCTTTCTTAATTATTCCCAGCATTCTGTTCGCTTTTTTGACTGCCGCTGCACATTGAGTGGATGTTTTCAGAGAACTATCCACAATGACTCCAAGATCTCTTTCTTGAGTGGTAACAGCTAATTTAGACCCCATCATTTTATATGAATAGTTGGGATTATGCTTTCTAACGTGCATTACTTTGCATTTATCAACATTAAATTTCATCTGCCATTCTGTTGCCCAGTCACCCAGTTTTGAGAGATCCTTTTGTAGCTCTTCGCAGTTTGACACTCTTAGAGGAAGCAATAGCCTGCTGTGCCTTTTTAAAACTATGAAAATAGTACAATAGAAAGGCCTGTAATCAATCAGTAAATATTTGACACTCCTTCAGGAAGTGTTTCTTGTCCTTTTAGTCAGCAGTCTAATATTTTAAAAATCACAAATACAACATAAGTTGTATCCTGGAGATTGCACCAGAACCCCAGACCAAACTGTAAAGCATTGTACACTTGATGTCTGTGTGTCATAAATTGTCTGGATACCTTTTATTATACTGTGTTTGAATATGCAATGTACAGTTTCTCATTAACATTTGTATTTTCTGTGTGTTCATGGTTTGGAACAACCAGCTGTCCAGGATTGTTCCTCAGGCAACCATCTCAAACTGATTTTTAAGGTCTGACTAACTTGCGTGAGTTTTGTAAAGGAATTTGCTGCTCTCTTAGGCCGCAAACTGAAGAATCGTTATTCATATTTATAACTTAAAACAATCCACCTTGACCACAATTTTATTAATAGAATACATTTTCAAGGAACATCAGAATTCACAATTGTTATTCATACTCCCTGAAGACTTAGATACTTTTATGTTGTATTTGTGATCCTATAGATATTTAGGAGCTTTTCCATATTAGACTGCCATTTTCAAATATCAACAAATCAGTAGAAGGCCATTTCTGTAGGCTTAAACTTATCATACAAGGTCTGCTGTGGAAGTAATTCAGAATTTTTAATGCCACTTTTAAGTCTTAAAAATAGAGGCTGGAATTTTTTCACTGACATAACTAAAAAATGGGTTTTCATTTTCAAATTCAACCTGCAAAAATGTAAATCCCTACTAGGACTCCATAGTGGAGGAGGGGAAAGAAAAGGCCCAATCCTGCTAGCACTTGTGTACATGTATAAGTATTTGCAAGGTTGGGTCCTAAAGCTATTTTGTTAAATTAATTAACTATATATTAGTTCAGTCATTTTTATTATAGTCTACCAAATATTTTTTAGTTTACATGGCTGCCTTTTGAAACATGGACTAAAAGGAACACATTTGTTTTTAAGGACACTCACAAAAATTCACATTCAGAAGTTTTGTTTTTATTGCTTTCTGTAAAATATGCAACTTAACCGTTCAAGTGTGCCATATTTTCTCCCATAGATAAGCATAATTACTATAATATGCATTAAAATTAATAAGCTAAAGAAAACAATTACAGAGATATGAACAGGATTCTGAAATTGCAATATAATGTTTTTTTCATCTTAGCAATTTGCAACTACCTTTACGAGAAAAATGCTTAACTGAAAGTTTTCTCAATCGGCTGCTCTCAGAGCATTGTATCCTCTTTAGTTCTGCTCTTGTTATGCTTCTTGCAAGAGAATAATTAGGATTAGAGAAAGAAATTGATTTTTGGAGCTTGTGATAAAGTAAGTCTATACAACCCTCTCACACTTAATAATGGGTAGGTTGAAAACTTGCTGTTCAGCTTCCAGGTACTATGTATAAAAAGTATACTGTGTGAAATCAAGGATGACTCCTTTCCCTTTCAAGTTCTGTTTTGTTTTGTAATATCGGTCACACATTATCACTTTTTTTATATATTCTGTTCTAAGCGCCTCTCCAATTTCTGTGATCATGCTTCTCCATTTGTAAAATTCAAGGTGCATATGTTTAAAAACAGGATTGAGTCTGTAGTATCTTAATTTTAAAATTATTTTGCTACAGGAGCCTATGGTATCTGTAAATTAGGCAGTTTCTGAGTCTTGTACAGTTCCAATTGGATTTATTTTTTTTAAACCAGAGGTCCTAGAATATATTTCAGTTTTCCCTTCCTCTTCTAATTTTATTCCCTATGGCCATAAATACCAGGAGTTCTTTCACTTTTTAAATCTGAGAAGCAGAAAGGTGGGGAAAAGGCAGAATGAAAGGCTCTTGGTACTTCAGAATTGTCTGCTAGACTTCAAAACACTTTCATTTCCACAGAAAACCATTCAAGCAGGTTTAATGCATAATGGCTTTATTTTTTTTCTTGGAATTAAGCTGTAACATGCTGTCCACATCTAATTACACTGATGAAGAGTTTCTAGGTGTTTTTTTTTTGAACTATAAAAGAACAAGAGTATGGTTGACATATGTTAATGGACTTTATTCACAGGATGGTGGGATCTTACTTTATTATGGTATTGCTGGATGCTTCTGATTCACCAGCCAGAGGGGTTCCTAAATTTTAGAGTTCATACTTACCCCATCTCATCTGAAAAAAAAAAAACAACCCAAAAAAACCCCAACCCCGATACTGTTGATTGGTGCCTTACATGTTCTATGAATGCACTCTGATAATGTTAAGTAACAGAGGGGTAGCCGTGCTAGTCTGAATCTGTAAAAAGCAACAGAGGGTCCTGTGGCACCTTTAAGACTAACAGAAGTATTGGACTTGTGTCAGATATCAGGAATGGCAACTTACAAAAACCTGTAGGAGAACACTTCAACCTCCCTGGCCACACAATAGCAGATGTAAAGGTAGCCATCTTACAGCGAAAAAACTTCAGGACCAGACTCCAAAGAGAAACTGCTGAGCTCCAGTTCATTTGCAAATTTGACACCATTATCTCCATACTGATTTATACCTGCTTCTGGAAATTTCCATTACTTGCGTCTGATGAAGTGGGCATTCACCCACGAAAGCTTATGCTCCAGTACTTCTGTTAGTCTTAAAGGTCCCACAGGACCCTCTGATAACGTTGTTGATACTGTTGTTTTTTTAAAATCTGTATTATCATCAAAGAGAAGTGGAGGTCTTTTCTGATTCTTTCACTTTTAATGAATCTTGATAAATTTGTCATCTGAACAAATTCCTGTTTAATTTGCAGTACCTGAACACCAAAATGTCCATGTGTGTCAGGAAAAATTGTATTGAATCATATGACCTATTAGTTACTTGCAAACATCTAACACATTTTCTCTTTTATTAGCAAACTTTGTCTGCTTCCCACCCACCCCCAGTATCAATTACTGTTGTTTACACATAAAATAATTAAATCCCTGCTAATGGCAGCTGAGAAGAAAAATCACGATTGTCTGTAAACTTAAATCTCAGAGGATCTGCCTGAGGCTTTAATATAGACAGATATGCCTTAACACCTAAAATACAAAGTTGTATAGTGTTTTCACCAAGAATTTAACGATTTGTTAAAATTGGAGTCTGTACAGGTCAAAAAAGACTTAAAGATGCTCAGGGAGGAGGCGGTTCCTCAAAAAAGCAGAAAAGAAGCCACAAAACATCAGTGGTGAACAACAAAAAGAAGAGCAAAACTAGTAAGTATAGCAACTTGGTGCAAAATGAAACCTAGACTTAGAGAACATCTTGTATTTGAATGACAAGTGAAGGAAGTGTTTATATAAAGATAACATTTTAGAAAAATGTGCTAAGTAGAGAATTCATAATAAATGTTAAAATGATGAAGCTGTTTTCGCTGAGTGCAAGAGTATTTAAAATTTCTTGCTATGCTGTTTCTCAGACTGATCCTATAAGGTGCTCAAAGCCTTCAGGTCCCATTGAATTCAGTGGGACTTGTAAGCATGTGGCACTTTACAGGGCCTGTTTTTGTCAAAGAGGAAAGGAAAGGAAATATTTTGGGGTGTGGAAATACATACATTTTAAGGAGGGGAATAGGAACTCTATGCAAAGTGAACTTACATACTATGCAAGATCAGTTTTCACACAATTTCACATAATTTAGAGGTGGTATTATTATTTGCACAGTACCACCACCTGTAATTACACAGGACCTGTATTCATCCACCTAAACTATTTGCTGCATATTGGAACACTTCACAAGTACATCTGACTTTTAAAGTAAACCAAATAAAAAATTAAGAGGTAACATCAGGATGTCCTCATAAGTAGATTTTAATTAATGAATATGTAGATCATTTTCCTGCCTGCACTATTGAACTAGACATTTGCTCTGCATTATCCTCTAATGGAGGCTACATCTTTACTGAATGTACTCTAAACTATTTAGTTTGTGATGTAACCTGAACAATTCTGAGGTGAAGTTCACTCTTCCCTACACAAGTCCCAAGTAGTCAGTTTTTGTGCAGGACTTTCAGCGGCAGAAGTTTGACTTTTATTTTTTCACACATAACCCACTACCTACCCATTTACTTACCTTAAGGGCAGGTCATGTGTAACCTTAGATTTATATGTTCCCCCTTAATAATTTAAAAATAACAAATAAAGCCAAACTGAATTCTTTATGGTTTGAACCTGAAGGACGGTTACAGATAATTTAATTTAGTGGAGGACTGTGAATGATTCAGTAAGTGATAAAATTAAAAACTTTATTTAATATAAAATATTTAAGCAAACAGGCATTACAACAGGGGTGGGCAAAGTACGGCCTGCGGGCCGGATCTGGACCATCAGGACTTTGGATCCAGCCCGCAGGATTGCCACCCCTGTGGCGCCACTCCCAGAAGCAGCTGGCACCACGTCCCTGCGGCTCCGGGGGAAGGGGAGCAGAGGGCTCCGTGCGCTGCCCTCGCCTGCAGGCACCGCCCCCCACAGCTACCATTGTCTGGGAATGGGGAACCGCAGCCAATGGGAGCGTCAGAGAAGGTACCCACAGGCAAGGGCAGCGCACGGAGCCCTCTGCTCCCCTTCCCCCGGAGCCGCAGGGACGTGGTGCTGGCTGCTTCCAGGAGCAGCACGGGGCCAGGGCAGGCAGGCAGGGAGCGAGCCTGCCCTGGCCCTGGTGTGCGCCGCTGCCACCTTGGAGCTGCTCCAGGTAAGCGGCGCCAGGCCAGAGCCCGCACCCTGAACTCCTCCTATATCCCACACTCCCTGCCCTGAGCCCCCTGCCAGCATCCCAACCCCCTGCCCTGAGTCCCACCCCAACCCCCTGCCCTGAGTCCCTTTCCGCACTCCGCATCCCCTCCTGCACCCCAACCCCCTGTCCTGAGTCCCCTCGTACACCCCGCCCCCCTCCTCTGCCCCAACTCCTTGCCGTGAGCCCCTTCCTGCACACTGCACCCACTCCCTCCTGCACCCCAAACCCCTGCCCCAGCCCTACATTCAGGGCCCTGCATGCAATTTCCCCTCCAGATGTGGCCCTTGGGCCAAAAAGTTTGCCCAGCCCTGCATTACAATATAATCTATACTGCATTTATACTCACATTCGAAGAGGAAATGATGCATTATGGGGTGCTCAATACCTAAATGACAAGAATGGGCATAATCCTTTCTCTAACGGTACCTTGGTGGTGGATGTGTGTACCTAATCTAAAATTAGCGTGCTATCCTTTTTATAATCAGTTATAATAATGCTCCTTAATTAATTAACATTACATTTACTTTTTTACCATAATTAATATCTGCATAAATGCCATAGCAATATCTATTAATATAAATAGCATTTTCCAAAACATTAACACTATTTAAAACACTTGTAGAAACCAGCTAGGACCAAACATATTTGCCATGTGACCTGGGGTTGTCCTAACTTATCTTCAGCTTGCTTCTAAATTGTCTTGATTCATTTTATTCATATTTTACCAGGCCTCACTTGACTATTTTCAAACTTAGATTTTTGGGCCTACTTACAAATCAATATTTCTATATAAAAATAAGCAAGCACCACCTGTATAGGCAACACATGGGGTTGCAATTCAAATCCTACTGCCCACTCTGTACCTCCCTCTCTTCACAGGGGATGCATTTTACCCTTTCTATATTGAAAAAGAGGTATAACCCCTTTTCTGATATTTGGAACCAGCACTTGAGGAGTTAGTGATTTGATTAATAAAATAAACCTATATTGTGTATTTTTGTATTTCTTCAGCAAACAGCAGTGATAGTGAAGAACTTTCTGCTGGTGAAAGTATGACCAAGTCTCAGCCAGCAAAATCAGTTTCCACTGGAATGAAGTCTCACCATACCAAATCACCTGCAAGAACACAATCTCCAGGAAAATGTGGGAAAAACGGAGAGAAGGAATCTGATCTCAAGGAACAGAATAATCGTTTGCCTAAAGTTTATAAATGGAGTTTTCAAATGTGTAAGTGCCTTTTTTTAAACTAGATCTAGTTTGTTCCTGAAGTAAGAAATAGTAAATAAAGTACTAAAGTATTTTCTTTCAGAATTACTTTCAGTCCTAACGTTACTGAATTTAGTTATCTTTCTCTAAGATTAACTTTCAATTCTTTTGGGGTGAAACTTACTGTGATCAAAATGCAGAAAGCCCACTCCTGTGCACTTCCTTATATACCACTTATTTTTTTACACATAGGGTTTAAAGTCATTCTTAGGTTTTTGTGCACACTGTCCAGTACTGGTGTGAATGTCATACTTCTTATGTTTAAGTTGACTTGTGTACTTTTTTTCTTTTCCCCCCTGTGATGATCACTCAGAAGTTTCCCAGACTTGGTAGTCAGTCAGATTTCTTTGTGTTCCATTTTACCTTAGCAAAACTGGAACCAGAACAGATTTATATCCTGTTATAGCAGTAAACTTCTCCATTTTGTGCATTAGTCAGCTGTTCTTGGATAACTTGGTGTGTTGTGAGGCATGAAGTTGGAGTGAATGTGCTTTAATCCACATGAAAAATTAATCAGTAGCTGATTAATGCAGACCCTGCAGTGCCTTATTGGTACTAGAGAGTGACTTCATTTTAACTTTCTTTTTAAATAATCCTTTTTTAGAAAACAATTTGGGAAGGAGGCAGTTAATGCAATACTATCCTTCCACTGGGGAAAAAAGGAGGGCAACAGAAAATACACGGGGAAAGGCTTCAACGCCTCTTCTTTAATGTAACAAACATATTTAAGACCCTTTTTCCCTCATCCTGTCCTCCATAAGTCCAGCTGCCCTTTCAGCAATAGTTTGTGGTCCAACAGCCATTTTCAGCTCTGTTTCTATTGTAAACTCAGACTTTAGGTTTTTGTTGTAAAGTGAGAACTAGAAGTGGCTGTTGGGCTACAAGCGACTGCTGAAAGCACAGTGGGGCTTAAGGGGGATAGGAGAAAAGGGCAGCTTAAAATTGTACTCACTCCCTTCTGACTTTTCTGCCAATCCTTCCCCTCCCTTATGTTCCTAAAAAATAGAACTGGGAAATCAGGAGCCTTTAAATCAGCTTCCAATTCAGATCCCTCAGGCTTCATGTCTTCAACTTTATAGAAAGGCACTGCTTTCCTGCACATCCCGAAGTGGCTGTCAAGACTTTCCTCTTCTTGATGATGAGGTCTCATTTGTATAACTTTGCATGGCTTTTACATCCATTTCAAGAGCTCCACTGGTTAAGTTAGAATGTCACTTTGGACAATTCAGAGCCAGGTGTTACGGCTTTGATTTTAAAAGTCCAGATAATTAAGTCTTGGTCATAAAACCCTCCATGATCCTCTCCTCTCCCCCAAGCACACATTCATGAATAAAAAAAGAGCAGAGAATTCACCTACACACAGGGAATTCTTCACTTGCCATCTTCAGTCATTTTAAGGATCAGAGGATCTGACCCTAAACCCTTGGAGCCCAATCCTAAATCTGTGAGTAAAGCTCCAGAGTAAAGGAACTTTGCTTGCTGAAACTGTGAAGAAATTGAGAGGACAGAATCCACACACCCATCTCAAAGCCCTACAGCAAGATCCATTGCAACTTTGTGTTGGTATAGTGCCTAGCACAATGGGACCCCATTCTTGGTTGGTCCTTGGGCACTACTGTAAGAAACATGATTAAAAATAATTCCTTCATCACACCAAGGTCACATTCCACTTTTGCTGCTGATGGGAGAATAGCAGACATAGCTTTCTGTTGTCCTTCAGAAGTGTGTAACTATGTGGCTCTGTGCTGTGCTTTCATCCACCAATCATGCCCCTGCTCTACCCAAACCCCACTCACAAGTCAGCTCAAATGAGATGTGCAGATTTCCCACACAGCTCCCATAAGGGTGTTTTTTTTATTCCCTTCTTCCCTACCCTCCTGCACATCAGACACAGGGTAAGAGCTATTCTTTTTTGCAATTCAGGTGGCACAAAGGAGTTGAATTTTAACCATAACTGGTCAGCTGTGAATTTCCCTGGCAGAGGGGAACTCTCAGTGAGAGTAAAACCATCAGAGCCAGTGCCTGTTCCTACCAACATCCCAACATAAAATGCCAGGGGAAGGAGAGGCATATCGGGAGTAGATGGGGAAGGAGGAAGAGCTCTGTTATGCTACACTGATCCTGTTATTGTACGGTCCCTCACTTAGAGCAGCCCCTAGTATGCTCTAATTCACATTGGAGCCAGCACAGACTGTGCTACAGAATCATGAAGCCATAACTGTCTGGCTCTCTGATGGCCATGCTACTCTCTTTGTCAGAGCTCTGCTTGTCCCGAGTTGAGACTCATGCCCACAGACTTTAAACTATTTTTGACCCCATTTGTGCCCATCTAAGGATTCAGTTCTTGATATTTAATCATGGAAAAATTCTTATTTATCTTCATAAGCATAAAACAAAAAACCTTGTTTCGTTTCCCCCCCCCCCCCCCAAAAAAAAATATTTGCCTGTCTGCCACTCATGGTGTTTGAGGCGGAAAATCTGTATTGATAGATGTTTGCTCTGTTGTAGCCATGTGGTTCCAAGGTATTAGAGACATAAGATGGGTGAGATAATATCTTTTAGTGAACCAATTTCTGTTGGTGAAAGAGAGAAGCTTTCAGGCTACACAGAGCTGAAGAAGAGCTCTATGTAGCTCGAAAGCTTCTCTCTTTCACCAACAGTGATTGGTCCAATAAAATATATGACCTTACCCGCCTTGTCTCTCTATGGTGATAGATGGCAACTAAAGTTGCTATGATTTTTAGCTGCTTTGTCCTCTATCTTGATACTTTTCCAATACCCTCCCCGTAGGATCTGAACATCTCCCAAGTATTTACAACTAGAAAGTTTTATGGAAAGATCAATTCTATATTAATAATTAACTAAGGTGTTATTTAACTCACAGCTGACCTGGAAAATCTGACAAGTGCAGAGCGCATAACAATCCTACAAGAAAAACTGCAAGAAATCAGGAAACACTACCTGTCCTTAAAATCTGAGGTAGCTTCCATTGACCGAAGAAGAAAGCGCTTGAAGAAAAAGGAACGGGAAAGTAAGTACTTGAGGTTAAATTCTGTCCTCTGTTAGAGCCCTGCGGTAGGATTACCCATTGTAGCTGAGGAATTTGGTCCTTAGATATTTGCCAAAAACTTCAAATGCATATACCTGTTAATTTCCAACAAGTTAAATTAAAAGTCCAAAAGAGTGTTTTTCTTGGGTTGAGCTTTGTAACATGTGTAACATTTATGTTGCCATAAATGTTGGGTAACTCTTCATGAAAAATTGTTTTTCCAGCATACCATACAAGTATGTTTGTCATTTTAATAGGTGCCAACAATAGAAACCATGATACGAGTTCCTTTTGTTTCACTACTAATGCAGCCTCTATTTTTTTTAAAGAATACTGTCAAGTTAAAAAAATCATACGTCTTGAAAGACAAATTTCCATCTTTGGCCCGACTCCAACAAAGCATTTAGGCAGGGGCTTAAATTTAACCACATAAATAAGTCACATTGACTCTGATTACTCATGTGCTTAAAGTTAAACACTTGCTTACGTGCTTTACCAGAATGGGCTTTTTTTTAGCAATGACAGATTAGTTTTGGGTTTTTTTAATTTCAGTTTTAGTTATCTAATGTACTTTTCATTATTTATCCTGCCTTTCTTACTCTTTTGCACCTTGTTCAGATAATGAAAATCTAATAAGGTTCATCTGTTTCTATTTCATATACTAGCACAGGACTGCTGTGTTTGTATTATAAAAACTAGGGGAACATTTAAGTGCAAAGTGGTTTTCACTGAAATTCATGAAAACATTTCTATTTAATATTAGGTTTATATAATCATTTAAAATACAAAGCCTAAATGTTTGCACTTAAACTACTTGACAATGCCACATGACACTGTTTCTCGTGATTTCAGTGCAGCCATCTGAGAAGTATGGCAAATTCATGCAATGTCCTGGGCTGGTATTCACGTTAATAGCATTTGTAAAATTGTCAGCAAAATGTTTGTATAGATATCTAGAAATTCTTCAAAAATTCAAGCAAAAATGATCCCACAAAAATACAATTCAGACATCCAACGTTTTTAGTCAACAGCACTGCATATGAAAAGAACATTTTCAGAGGGATGTATTCTATTTTATTCTCTAAGAGGATCTACATTTTTTGAAGAATTATAAAACTAACTTTTTCTAATAAATGTATGCAAAATTCAATATTACTAGCTTCATTTTCTTGACAAATAAGTATCATAATTTACTATAAAATCATTTATCATGATTCCATGATAAATTATAAAATATTAGCTCTCCATTAGCCACAGAGGCATTACTTAATGAACTACTTCAAAGGAACACCATCTTAAGTCACACTTCTCTCTGAAATGTTATACCTACTGTTGTTATAAATAATATCTGTTATTACTGCTGAAAGATATTGGAGAGAAATAGTATTTTTCTCTATTCTTCATTCGTTCACTTTGTATGTTTGACAGCACAGTGAAGTCATAGAAATGTAAAGCTGGAAGCAACAGGGGTAGGTTATTTTGTCCATCCCCCAGCACTGTGGCAGGACTAAATATACCTAGACTATCTCTGAGAAGGTGTTTGACGTCTTTTTAAAAATCTCCAGTGGTGGAGATTATATAACCTCCGCTGGGAAGTTAATCCAGATCTTAACTATCCTTATAGTGAGAAAGTTTTTCCTAATATTTAACCTAAATGTCCCTTGCAGCGGATTATTTCTTGTTCAGCCTTCAGTGGACATGGAGAACAATTGATTACAGTCTTCTTGGTACACACGTTAACATATTTGAAGACTATCAGGTGCCCCCTCAAGTCTTCTTTTCTTAAGACTAAACATGCCCTTTTTTTTTAACCTTCTTGATAGCTCAGCTTTTCTAAACCTTTTATCATTTTTGTTGCTCCCCTCTCTCCAGTTTGTCCACATCTTTCTTAAACCATAGCACCCAAAACTGGACAGAGTACTCCAGCTGAGGCCTCCCTAGTGCCAAGTAGAGTGGGACAATTGTCTCCTGTGTCTTACATGTGACTTTCCTCTTAATACACCCAAGAATGATATTAGCCTTTTTTACAGCTTCATCATGTTCTTATCTCATGTTAAAATTTTGATCCACTATAACTCCCAGATCCCTTTCAGCAGTACTGCTGCCTAGCGAGTTATTCCCCATTTTGTAGTTGTGCATTTGATTTTTCCTTCCTAAGTATAGTACTTCGCATTTGTCATTACTGAATTTCATCTTGTTGATTCAAATCAGTTCTCCAATTTATCAAGGTCATTTTGAATTCTAATCCTGTCCTCCAAAGTGCTTGTAATGCCTCCCACCATGGTGTCATCTGCAAATTTTATAAGCACATTCTCCACTCCATTATCCAAGTCATTAATGAAAATATTGAATAGTATCAGGCCCAGGAGAGACCCCTGTAGGCAGGGCCGGCGCAACCCATTAGGCGACCTAGGCGGTCGCCTAGGGCACTGCGATTTGGGGGGTGGCGACTGCGGCAGTATTTCCGCGGTGGGACCTTCCGCCACCTAGGGTGGCGGAAAAGCTGGTGGCGCTCCTGTCTGTAGGACTCGACTAGATGTATCCTCCCAGTATAATAGTGAATCATTGATAACTACTCCCTGAATATGGTTTTTCAACCAGTTGTGTACCCACCTTATAGTAATTTATAGTAATGTAGTACTGTATAATGGACCATACAGTCAGTTTCCTTGTTTGTCTTGGTCTTTCACACAACAAGAAGAAATTGTAAATAATTAATTATTAATTAAAAAATGTGTAGTAGTTGTTGGAGTCAGTGAATACTGACCCTTCTTGTATGACAGGGTTAGAACCTTTTGTTAACCTCACACTAATGGCATATGACAAGAGCCACAAAATAAAATTAGCTTTTTATCTGCACTCCTCTTGTTATAACATGATGGGAAAATCACAAAAATTGGCAAGGGCACTTGAGAGCAGGTGAAACTACTTTTAATTCTTTTTATTATTTTAACTAGCTAGATTTTAAGTTGATGGTGTCTCTTTAATGTTTATTATCTGCTTTGAGGTTGGTAATGTACATGCAAAGTATTTTTTTTATTTTATTTTATTACATTTATTTAAACCTTTTTGTTTTTCTTTGTCATAGGTGCCGCTATTACATCATCTTCTTCTTCCTCACCTTCCTCCAGTTCCATTACAGCTGCAGTTATGTTAACTTTAGCAGAACCATCTATGTCAAGTTCATCCCAAAATGGGATGTCAGTTGAGTGCAGGTGACAGCAGGACTTGCCAAAGCACTTTGCACTTAATGGCTGCTGAGGGCCACTTTTTTTTATACTGCACGGTGGCACAAAATTCAGACAAGCACTATTTTGTATTTAAAAATTGTTTCTTGACAAGCTAACTTTGCACTTAAGTGCACTTTTATGAAGAAAAAGTACAACAAACTGCTTTTCCTCAAGCAATAATTGTTTCCAACTTGTCTGGGAATTGTACGTCTAGTGACTCGAAGGCCTTCCACTGTGGCAAATGGAGAGGCTGTTCACTGCCTGTAGAGACAGTACAGTAAGCATACAGTTGTTGGATGGGCCTAATTGATGTGTTAAGGCTTACTGTACATCTATTCCCTGGTATTTTGTTAAAGCTGGAACATTTGATATTTTTCCATTTATTTATGACAAATATTGAACCTATTTTCATTTGTACAAACTAATTGTTTTTTAACTTTTAAGTCACCTCATAGTGGCTTTAATTGTATAAGTCAAGCACATGTATTAAATTCAAAACCTGCAGTTAGTAGGATGTTTGACATCAGTCCTGATAACCAAATATGAAGATTCTCTTTTAAAAAGACTGACTAATGTTTACAGGTTTGAATTAGGCTAATAGGTTACTGTGGGTTTTAATAACCCATTAATTGGAATGGAACTACTGTACTTTGCCATTTTTCTATGAATCAGTATTTTTTTAATTTTGATAAAATACATTATGACAAAAGGAAGAAAATGGCTATCAAACTGTATTAAATCTTAAACAATGTATAAAGATTGTATTTAGCCAGTTTAAAGTGTATATTTATTCATAATGGATTATAACAGTTATATTTTTGTGTTTTCTTGTAAATGTTTCTTTTCCCTTAAAGCAACAAATATTTCATTTGTAATGCTTATTTTATTACGAGCTGCAACAGAGAGGACTTCAAGAAGGAGAAAGCTGTGTTAATATAGTTTGTGGTTGCTGATATGAACACTGCCACAAAAGGATAGTTGTTTTTAATATAAATAGCTAGCTGAGTGTTAGACATAATTTTTTTTAAATGCCTTGTACAAAATCCAAAACCAACTCAAAACTGTTTTCACATGTATTGATTTTATGTTGTATGAATCCCAAGCTTCTCTCCTGTTAATTATACATCTTTGTAAGACATTTGTATATTGCGGAAGTGTTCATTCAAGCTATTTAATACCTGGCACTGTTAATACACAGTACTTTATTGTACAGATTGTTTTACTGTTTTAATTGTAGTTCTGTGTACTTCTTTTGGCTGGGGGAAAAAGGGGCTGGCATGTTTTTCTTTGTTTTTTGGCAATACAACATGTAATTTCAAAAGGTTTTGTTTGTAGATGATAGAGTGTCAGAATCCTTTACTTTCGACTTTTCTAAGAAAAGCGTTTTCAGTCTTCGTAGTGTGTGCTTACGGTAACTGATTTTATTGAAAATGGTTTCAAAGTATTCAGATTTGTACAAGACTGTAAAAATTTGTTGACAAACATTGAAGGAAAAGCTTATAGAAAAAAAGCTATAAAATATATATTAGGTTCTGCAGACAATGGAGAATTATGTAATATATTGTACAAATGTAAGCAAAGGCCTCTGAAATAAAATGCCATAGTTTGTGAATCGCTGATTTTGTTTCTAACAGTTTAATTAAGTAATTTTAGTGTGTTCATTTAAATGACACCAGACTGTAGAATCAATTAAGCTAATTGTATTGGTTGTGTCGTAAGAAATAAATATATAAGGAATAATTTTGAGAAAAATATAGTGGACCAAATTCTCTTCTCAATTTGGCCGAAGTCATCCTATACAGAGCCATGCTACTGATTAATTTGGCAAATTGACATAAATGAGGTAGCATCAGTATAATTAAAGACTGAATTTGATCCACTTTAATTCAGTTAGTTTGAAAATGTGAAAGAAAAGATGCTTAAGGTATTTGCTGACCTCTAATATCTATTGGCCAAGTTCAGATGAGGTGAAAGCAGAACTCCAGTGAAATAACTGGAAATGCTCCTGCTTATCCCAGGTCTGAATTTGATCCTATGCATGCAGACTTCACTCGTCTGATTAAAATGCTATTGTATGTGCAAACTGATACATTATCAATGAGACTTTGTTAAATAACAAGTAATTAATATGCAGTTTAGCAAGACTTGACTATGTTAATTACTAGCATTCTGCCATCTGAGGCCCCGATCCTCCAAACACTTAGGCACATGCTTAACTTTAGGACCATGAGAAATCCCATTTATTTAAATGACTTAACTGACCGGTCATAGTAGTAAAGTTAAGCATGTGCCTGTGTTTCCCCATCAGTAGATGTAACTTGCATTGGTTTCATTGGGAATTGCTCCTGTGGAACTGAGGGCAAAGTTCACGTACTGAACTATGCTTCTGTATCTGCTTTTTGACCAGATAGCTTTTACTCTAATAAAACTCTTACTGGCTTTAGTGGAAGTCTGTCTCAGTAAGCAGGGCAGGATTCCATCTTTCCTGTATCTTTTTTGGTCTAATTACTCCATGTTATCTTCCTCCCTAATCCATCTTCCCCCAGAAATCTGATTTATCTATGGGGGCTTTCTCATTGATGGGAATTTTTTTGCTTCTTGAAAGTGAGAGGAAAACTAGAAACCACACATTTTTCATTAAGGTGAATGATACTCTCATTAGCAGTAGAATAATATTGCAGGTAGCCATGCCATCTAATGCAGATATTATCCCTTTCTTTACTGTATTTGTTTCCATGTAATGTAATGAATAATTTCAGTATTATAAATTGCTCTAGAGGTGTTAAAGTGAAGTTCCATTCTGAGAAGTGATTCTCTGTATATGGTACTCTGCAGCTCAGTATCTCAACTGATTCCAAGAAAAAAATGTTTTTACCTGTCAGGCCTTCAAATTTCCTAGATTCTTTGAATCATGTGAGCTTTTTCCTTCTCTCACATTACAAGTAATAAAAATTCTTCTTCAAGTGCTTGTCCATATACATTCCACTCTTGGTGAGTCTCATGCACCCCAAGAACTCAAAATTGGAATCTTTTTGCCTGCAGTATCTGTTGGGCCACACCTGTGCCCTGTGTGTCCTCCCATCCACCCAGCCAAGAGCATAAAGGGGATAATGGGCCAACTGGCCTGCAATTCCTTCTTACTGCCTGTGGCTGCGAGACGGAACTGAAAGTTGTGTCCTTGTCCTTCTCACATTTGCAATTCCAAAACAAAAATGTGAGTACACAGTTACCAATCTGAGGTAGACTTCTACTTAGGTTAGGATTTGATCTGGGCACAGTTTTTCATCTGAAACTTGTTTTTTGCAAAAAAGAAAAAAAAATTGCAGATTTGGATTGACCAAAACACTTTGTGAATTTGTATAGAATTTGGAAAATTGTCAGGAAAAAACATTGGAGATGTCAAAATGATTGTTTGACTTTTTTTTTTAAACAAAATATTTTGATTTTTTGGGGATAGATTCCCAAGCAGACTTAGAGTGCCAGTCATAAAACCAAAGGGGGAGGAGCCCTGGTCTTATACAAATAGCCCAGGGGGTTAGGGTACTCACATGCGAAGTAGGAGACCCAGATTTGAATCCCCGTTCTGGAGCAGGAATTGGAACTCCGCTTTTCCCAATCCCAGGTGAGTATTCAACAACCAGGCTATAAGGTCACTCTCTCACTGTGACCGAAATAATGTTTAATTATTTAAACAAGTGGAATAGCTTCAACAAGAGAGGTTTCTCTTTGGCTTTGAGATCTGTGCCTACCCTCTTGTGACTCTAGCCTTCCATTTCCAAATTTCCTTTGCTTTTGTTAAATAGTGCCCAAAATCAAAATGAAGCATTCTGTCCAATCCAAAACATTTTTGTAACTTACTGATTTGCCAAAAATTCCCCCCCAAAAAGTTTTTGGGTTTACCTTTTTTTGGGGGGGGGGGGAGGGCGGAGGGCGAAATTGCCAGCAAATCAAATGTATCAGTTTATTTTCTAGTCAATGCATGCCCCACATGTAATTTACACATAGCTGAATTTGGTCCAGAAACTTCCTTGAGAATCCTGGTTGCTGAAGGAGGGCAATATCATCCCCCTATTTGGAGATTCAGAAGAAATAGGGAGCAGAATTTTCAATTCATCTCATGGCAAAAAGTGAATCCTTGAGTCTTTTTATAACCCAACAGTTCATGGATGTGAGAAAATTGAACAGGCAGTTCAATCCTTTTCATATCTAAAGGAAAACCAACATTCTGTAGTAAAACCCCATCCCCCAAAAAACACTAATGTAGCAAACTTTTCTGAGTTTCCTACAGTTCTATATCCCAATATTTCCTTGAAAAGAAAGATTTCCTCTTCATAATATGATGCAATGTGACATCATAGCACTATTGGCTATGTAAACAAGAACTGTTTATTCAAAATTATATTACTATTATAATAGCAAACGCATGACATTTGGGCCCTTAATATTCCTATGAAGAACTAGAGCCCTGATTTTTAAAAACAAGTAAATATATTGCCTCAGTTTCTGGGTGCACTGTTTGACACCTTAAAGGACCTTGATTTTTTAAAACTTCTGAATACCCCACTCTGAAAATCAAGCTCCTTTAAAGTGTGCCATCCTGAGCACCCAAAATTACTAAGCTTTTGAAATTGTAGGTTGAGAAGCCATTTTTTTCTCCACTGCAGCACTTTTCAACTGGTTCCCACAACACAGAGTGGCCTAAATCCAGCGGATTTAGTCCCTTGATGATTGCCCTTGCCTATGGAAAACCTTGGGTGCCACAGAGCTAGGCAGTTGAGGCTCCTAACTAAGCTCCTCTTATCCTCTCTAGCATGGGCATGGCCAGGGCATCCCTGGCAGCAGGAATGTACCATTGGCAACTGGCACAAGAGACAGCAGCCTGAGATCGGTTCTAACTTGCAGCAAGGGTATGGAACAAAACTGACACCTGGATGGCCCCACAATCAGGGGACTATAAAGACATCTTTAAGTCAACTTTGATTCCCTGTAGCTCACTTAGGCTATAGCAGGGGTCTCCATAGGCACTGACTCCCCCGCTCCCAGCGCAGCGCACCACATCCCTGCTCCTCCACCTACTTCCCAGCACTTCCCACCACCAAACAACTGTTTGGCAGCGCTTAGGACTTTCTAGGAGGGAGGGGAGAGGAGCGGGGATGCGGCATGCTCAGGGGAGGAGGCAGAGAAGAGGCAGGGCCAGGGTGGGGATTTGGGGAAGAGGTTGGAATAGTGGCAGGGAGGGGGAGCATGAGCTGTATGCTATTCTGACTTACACATTATCAACAGAACTTTTGACTATGAGTCTAATCCAACCCCCATTGAAGTCAATGACATTCTTTCCATTGATTTCAATGGGAGTTAGACAAGATCCTAAATTCCAGTTGCAGAATATAGTACTGGTGAAGAAGCATAAGTGAGAACACTGCTGGGCTGAAATTACAAGGTATATTTGCAGACCTGTGTAAAGGGGTCCACTCACCACAGGAGCACCTCCTTGTGGGTACTCCACCCTTTTAGGCCTCTTGTAAGAATCCCTAATCCAGGAGAGAACCACAGGGTTTACTCTCCTCCTGACCTCCTCGTCTCTAGCCAACTCCCTTTCCCTCTAGGGAGTGGTTGCAGACCTCCACCCTGCAGCCTCCTTCCCACTGTCACTTCCTAGCTTTATCATCCTAGCCCAGGTTTTCCACCTACTGGGCTTCATCTTCCATTAGTTCTTATCAATTCCTGTCTTCCCTCCAGGTGCAACATATAAGGTTAATTGGCCCTTTCTGGCCCACATTTACCCACTCTGGGCTTGTGTGGAATGGACACCCCATCACAGGCTGACAGAAAAAAATGTTAACTCATACAATTAAGACTGCCAGCTAAGTGGCCAAAAATGAAATGACTGTCAAAATTAGCACTGACATTTTGCATTACAGTTTTTAAAAAGTTAATACATTGACTTTTAATGGCATACTATATTATTCTTCATTTTTTACTATACTTTTGTATCATTGTATGAAAAGGTTTCAGTGATGCAGCCCTCAGGCCAATGTACTAGTCCTCATGTGGTCCTTGTGGTGATTTGAGTTTGAGATCCTTGGGCTATAGTATATACATTGCATAATACATTTATACATTGCATAATCTTCCAAAGAACCATCTTTTCTTTGTACTTGCTATCTATACTATAGAGACACAGCTTCTATTTTGTATATTTTTAGGTGACTGTCAAAGTCATATACTATAGTTAGGCTTGCCTGAATTTGATTTTTATTAAATAATGTTGATGTTTATTTTAAAGTATTTTTTAGATTGTCAATTTAAATTTTCAGTTTTGCAAAATTATGGTGCGGGAGACTAATGACAGTAGATGGTGAGATTCAAAAAGTTAAAGCTTTATAACTTTAAACACAATTTGTCAACAGATCAAAATATACAAAATAAATATCCTTAGATCAAACTCAAATAATTTTCAACCAGCATTTTTCTTACTTTGCTTATATGTAAATTTCAGTTGATACCTTTCATTGGTTTGTGTGTATGGCAAAATTGAGATTTACCAATAAAATCTAATCCCTTCAAGCCTAAATATAGCGCATATAGCAAGTACAGAAAATGTAATATGTA